GAGCGCAGGAGGTGTGACTGCACACCAGGGGCGGACTGACCATTTGGAAACTCGGGCACTGCCCGAGGGCCGGGGTCAGTAGGGGGCCCCATGAGATGCCCCTGGTACCTTTTTCATAGGCTTTTTTGAGCTTGGGCAAGGACACAGGGGCCCCATGATCCCCTATTGGGGGCCCGGGGTCAGTAGGGGGCCCCATGAGATGCCCCTGGTATCTTTTTAATAGGATTTTTGAGTTTGGGCAAGGACACAGGGGCCCCATGATCCCCTATTGCCCGGGGGCCCCATGAGTTGTCAGTCCGCCCCTGCTGCACACTGTCTACATTTGGGGCTGCTCACCTTCACCCACATGGCTGTCAAATTGGGATGAGCCGTTTTGTCCTCAAAGCTGCTGCACCCCAGTAGACATGAATGGGCTGCCTGCAGCTGAAGCCACATAAACAACACATTCATTCACAGGGTATGTGTCGGCATAATTCTGAATAAGGCCTCACATTTATCATGTAACAAAAATCTACTAAAATCAAAAATGTGCTTTCCAATTCAAGACCAAGCAACAGAATCGTTTCAAAGAAGGCACCATAATCCACACATTCTCACATTGAATTGGCTTCCCAGTTGCTCCGTTTAGCTTCTGGGAGTAGAGAATACACCCAGCGCTTTCTAGGTTCTTGGGAATATGGGAGTCACACCTTCACCCCTTTTCCATATGTAAGCACTTGGCCAGTAATTGGCCATTAAGGCACCCAGCCCGGTCATATAGAGTAAGGGAATGTGTTCCCAGCCCTAAGTAGGCTCCAAGTCCTGACCTAGAGCCTGCCCAGGGCTAAATCCTTCCCCACCCAGCAACCAAACAGAGCTGTAGAGGAGCAAAAAAAAGTTTTTTCAGCTGGGGAAGTTGGCATTAAAGTTAACTTGTTGCTCTGCCCTGCATGCTTTAGCTTTCAGAGTAGAAAGTGTAGCAGTACATCAACTTTTAAAACTCTACAAGTAAAAGCCACATCACATTTTATGTGCTTTAGTTATCAGTATACAACATGTTTTGGCAGACAAAAACATGGGGCTGGCTGGGCTGTAGGAACAAATTCAAAGGCTATAAAACATTATGCTAACTAGTCATCACCTAAACGACTTATATCACTTACTGCACTGATCATTTTACCATCTTCTATATTTAAACAGTAAAAACAAATATTTCTTAAAATTTCACCTTCTCTTAATAAAGTATTACTTGTTATAAAAAGAAACACTTCATTTGCTCATGATCAAATAACCCAGCAGAACCTATTACTCATTTCACCCTCTGCCAAGAACATGGAGTCTTTATCAAGGGAACGCCCCCACATCATGATGTTCACGATCAGCACAATTATGCCAACAAGTATATGCATAAGAGAAAACATCCCAAAAAATGCTGTTCCCTGATTACATCCATTCCTCAGCATATCTACCAGCAGTGTTCTATAATTAACACGTACACAGCATGTTAAATTAGAAACATAAATGACAGCGACAAAGCTTCCTCTAAATTTCTTATAAATCTAGCTTATGCAATCCACAGAGACTCATAAACCAATATAGGGAGCAATAGGGAGCAGGCAATAACATGCTGCTGTGGACTTAGGACATAAGTACAGAGAGATAGATAGATAGATAATAGATAGATAATAGATAGATAGATAATAGATAGATAATAGATAGATAGATAGATAGATAGATAGATAGATAGATAGATAGATAGATAATAATATAGATAGATAGATAATAGATAGATAATAGATAGATAGATAATAGATAGATAGATAGATAGATAGATAGATAGATAGATAGATAGATAGATAGATAGATAGATAGATAGATAGATAGATAATAGATAGATAGATAATAGATAGATAATAGATAGATAGATAATAGATAGATAGATAGATAGATAGATAATAGATAGATAGATAATAGATAAGATAGATAGATAGATAGATAGATAGATAGATAGATAGATAGATAGATTATAGATAGATAGATAGATAGATAGATAGATAGATAGATAGATAGATTAGATAGATAGATAGATAGATAGATAGATAGATAGATAATAGATAGATAGATAGATAGATAGATAGATAGATAGATAGATAGATAGATAGATAGATAGATAGATAGATAGATAGATAGATAGATAGATAGATAGATAGATAGATTATAGATAGATAGATGATAGATAGATAGATAGATAGATAGATAGATAGATTATAGACAGATAATAGATAGATAGATAGATAGATAGATAGATAGATAATAGATAGATAGATAGATAGATAATAGATAGATAGATAAATAATAGATAGATAGATAGATAGATAGATAGATAGATAGATAGATAGATAGATAGATAGATAATAGATAGATAATAGATAGATAGATAGATAGATAGATAGATAGATAGATAGATAGATAGATAGATTATAGATAGATAGATAGATAGATTATAGATAGATAGATAGAGATAGATAGATAGATAGATAGATAGATAGATAGATATATAGATAGATAGATAGATAGATAGATAGATAGATAGATAGATAGATAGATAGATAGATAGATAGATAGATTATAGATAGATAGATGATAGATAGATAGATAGATAGATTATAGACAGATAATAGATAGATAGATAGATAGATAGATAGATAGATAGATAGATTATAGACAGATAGATAGATAGATAGATAGATAGATAGATAGATAATAGATAGATAGATTATAGACAGATAGATAGATAGATAGATAGATAGATAATAGATAGATAGATAGATATAGATAGATAGATAGATAGATAGATAGATAGATAATAGACAGATAGAAAGATAGATAGATAGATAGATTATAGATAGATAATAGATAGATAGATAGATAGATAGATAATAGATAGATAGATGATAGATAGATGATAGATAGATAGATAATAGATAGATAATAGATAGATAATAGATAGATTATAGATAGATAGATAGATAGATAGATAGATAGATAGATAGATAATAGATAGATTATAGATAGACATTTGCTTACTATAGCTACCTACTAAATCACGTTTCCTAAACAACATACAAATCCCAACTCAAGACACGTTTTTTTTTTTATTTCACTGGGATAGTAGAGATAGAACCCGTGTTCAATTTCTGTTGTTGTATGCTTACTTATTGGAGAGATATCCCAACACTTACGGTCCCAGTTACAGGACGATAGAGGCACAAAAAGAAATATCTCTTCAATGGGATTTTGAGCATGACAAACACTTCTTTAGTAAAGTGGGGAAAGGTTAGTATACCCTTTAAATTTGTTAATGTTCCCCATTCCTTCCTGTCACAATGACCCAACTGCCATCATTTTTGTTGTGATGCCTGAGAGATAAAAGTTGACTGGAATCTTCTCAATGGAGACAGTCAAGTTTCATGGAATTACATGCACATGACACAATTAACATGCAGTGTTTAACAAGAATTCTTACTGACCTGTGAGTCTCTGTGTTGTGTAGATGCGCTAAAGTGCTTCAATCAGAGGGAAGTCATCATGAGGCCATATTTAGAAAGAATTAGAAGTGGTTATTGGACTATGTTTAATTGTTTAAATAATGGATCAGGAGTAAAGAACCTTGTAAATGAAACAGCTTTTACAAAAATCTCTTTCATGTAAAGATATCTTGGAACCATATAGATATAATCTAAAGTAAAAGATTAAAACACATTATATATAATAATATAAAAACTCTTCAAAATTGTCATATTCCAACCTCAGTTACCTGCATATTATTATTATTATTATACAGTATTTATAAAGCGCCAATAGTTCGCTCAGCGCTGTACATTAAAAAGGGGGACAGAACATGTGACAGAACAATACCAATACAATGCAAAACATGAGGGGATCGAGGGCCCTGCTCCTTGGAGCTTACAATCTAGGAGGGAGGGGATGGTGGCACAGGAGGAGATAGCTGTGGGGGATGGAGTGGTAGGAAGAGTGGAAGAGGTCGGCAAGTTAGCAGGGGGTGGGGTAGGCTTCCCTGAAGAGATGGGTTTTCAGGGTGCGCCTAAAGGAGAGGAGAGTAGGTGATAATCTGATGGGTTGGGGCAGGGAATTCCAGAGGATGGGTGACACCCTGGAGAAGTCCTGGAGGCGGGCATGGGAGGAGGAGACCAGGGAACTAGAGAGAAGGAGGTCTTGTGAGGAGCGGAGTGTGCGTGTTGGGTGGTACTTGGATATTAGGTCAGTGATGTAGTTCGGGGGCAGTATGGTGGACAGCTTTGTACATCAGCGTTAGGATTTTGAATTTGATCCGTTGCGCAATCGGAAGCCAGTGGAGGGATTGGCAGAGGGGGGTGGAGGACACTGAGTGGAGGCCAGTGGAGGGATTGGCAGAGGGGGGTGGCGGAGACGGAGCGGTTGGAAAGGTGAATGATATCTTTAGGTGCCCTCTGTGTCCTGCTGGGCCTGTGGTAGAGATGCCCTTTTTCCACTTTATAAGTTCTATATATAGTAGCTCCAAGGTAAATATGGTGAAAATCTTCTGGTACTTGTGTAAAAATTTAGCCATTGTTTCTATTGTTTTGTTTTAGATGGAATTTTATGATTTGTAAAGTAGAATTATAGGCAACATTTTTGGATAGAACAAGGAAGGGTTATGAACACCTGTCAAATGTTTTTTCCACCATCTGTGTCCCATTGTGGAGATTTCCCTTCACTTCCTACCTCATAGCCAGGAAGTGAGAGGAAATCCCTGCAAATTAAGGGAATCCCTTGGGAACCCCCAGGTCACCAGAACTAGTGTCCCCATTGGAAAATTCCACCTGTATTACTTTTCTGGGGAAAATCCAAAATCTGAGATTTTATTTTACTTTCACTGATAATGGTAAACTGGACAAATAGAGAGGGTGAATCTCCTTAACGGGGGCACAGACAGCAATAAAAACTGACAAGCATTCTAATCCCTCTCCACTCTATCCAACACTAAAAAAAAATGTTTTGCCTTTAGATATGTTAGTGATAATGTATATAAATATTTGAAGCCTAAATATTGTATTAATTATTTTTTATCATTGTATTATGCAGGGCCCTCAAAGAAAGTGCTTCACTTTGAAATTTCCAAAGAAGGCAGTGATTTATTGATAATTCGAGATGCAGAACTTTGGCTATTTTTGAAACTGTCTAAAGCCAACCGAAGCCGGGCTAGATTAACAATACGTCTCTACCAGCAGCAGAGGGTTCAGAAGGAACACAGAGGAACCGAGTCAAGTAAAAATGAAGTTCTGATTGCTGAGAAAGTGGTGGACACAAAGAAAAGTGGCTGGCACACATTCCCTATATCTGGGAGCATCCAACGTTTACTGAATCATGGCAAGTCATCTATGGACATTCGAGTGGTTTGTGATCAGTGCCAAGAGTCAGGGGCAACGCCTGTCCTTCTCGGGAAAAGAAAGAGAAAAGATGATGAGGAGAGAGAATCAGGTACAAATGGAGGTGAGGAAGAAAAAGAACAGTCACATAGGCCCTTCCTAATGATTGTTGCTCAGCAGACAGATGAGCACCCACACAGAAGAAGGAAACGTGGCCTAGAATGTGATGGTAAAGTAAGCAATTGCTGCAAAAAGCAATTTTATGTTAGTTTCAAAGATATAGGATGGAGTGACTGGATCATAGCCCCGGGTGGCTACCATGCCAACTACTGTGAGGGAGACTGCCCTAACCACATTGCTGGGACTTCTGGTGCCTCCCTTTCATTTCATTCCACAGTAATCCACCAGTATCGAATTAAAGGCCACAGCCCCTTCAACAACATTAAATCCTGCTGTGTTCCATCTAAGTTGAGAGCTATGTCCATGCTCTATTATGACGATGGACAAAATATAATTAAGAAGGATATCCAGAACATGATTGTGGAAGAGTGCGGTTGCTCGTAAACTGAACATTTGGTATGGCACCAATCACAAAACGATTGCAATCGGCTTGCAAGTAGAAATGATCAACGGGAGATGAACTTGAGAAAGAAGAGCATGTTCTGCACCTGCTGCAGTTAGTATATGAAAAGGACGCTTCTAGCTCTTATAGCTGTGAGCTTGGATACTATATAAAGAGGCACAAGAATACACCTGTTTATCTATATATACAACACATTCCTGTTTGTGTAAATGTATAGGCATTTATACAGGTTGTATAAATAGATATTCAGAAATAGATCTATAGCACCATGTTAGTTCAATCCTTTATTTAACTTTAACAACTGTACTGTGCAGGTGACTCAATTTCCTTCTTTGCACTATTACTGCATACTAAAAAAGGAAAAAAAAAAAAGAAAACGCATACAAAGTTAATTTTCATCAAGGTGCTTAAGATCTTAGAACTATGCAACTTATGGGGTTTGAAAACTGTTTACCCAAAAACAAAGAAAAAAAAGACTTTTCAGTGGAAGTAACATGTTTAATATTTTTGTTCTTTCATGAGAGATACTTGAAAGGAACATGTTGGTTCAGGTACTGGAACCATACATTTCTATATTTTGTAAAAAAAAAAAAAAAAAAAAAGTTTCTTTTTTATTTGCACTACAACAGTATTTGACCTGTCTAATATCCTTATTTAACAAGTATTTTTTTCGAGAGAGGTTTTAAGAGCTGCACTTAACATGAGATATATGAGAACTGCTACAGCACACTTCAAAATAGCTATTTTTATGACTATTTTCAATATTTTTCTACCTTAAATGAGACACTTACACCAAAGACATGTGTGTAAAGATTTAAGTCTGCCTGTGGTTGGTAATTACTGAGCAAATGGGAAGGAAGAATTTAAAGGATTGAGTGTAAATGAAAATGTATCAAAGCCAAAATTGTATACTTTATCTACATCCATTTTGGGTAATTATGCTGCTTCCAGGCAGCCTTTGTTTCCTTTAAAAAAGGCACTTCAGCAACTTATCTCTATTGCATATTTCTTCTTTGGTTAACCATTCCACTAATTGGATAACCATTTTAGTATGCTGACATATGTTCTTGAATTTCAGAATTGTGAATATGCACAAAATGACATTGTTTTGACGATAATGCAAGCTTCATACTGTGTGGCATACAGCTAGGAACATTCTGGCAAGCATGGTATACCATGAGTAACTGGAGCACATTCATGACATCTGTGCACATGTAATTGTACAAATGGTATTGCAATTTGGCTTTTTTAGATGTTACCTTTATTTTTTTCACTTGAACTGCACTAGAAAATAACAAAACCACTTTTTTGAACAATTACTAATGTTGCAGATTTAAAAATGTCTCCCTCTATGTCAGTTCTCACATAACTGCTGCCATAATATATACCCATGGTAAAAATCTTGCCTTGGCTACTGATTTTTGGTAGCTATAAACTATTTATCTTTTTTTTTTTTTACAGGGAACACATTTGAAGTAAATAAAGAGTAAACAACATTTATATCAGATAGAAGAAATTGAAAATAACATATCATTTTGCTGCATTTTAGAAATTATTTCAGCAACGATACAATAAGGTCTTCTGCTGAAATATGTATATGTGTAATAAGGTGCAAAATATCCTTTTTTTGTGCAGTTATATTAAAATACATGCTTATAACTATTTTTTAATTTATTCCACAGTATTTAGCTTGCATTGTAAGGCAAATGTTTTATTCATATATTTGCATTTTATACTGATACATTTCTGACTTGTTTGCAGTTTGCAAAAAAAAAAAAAAGAAAAAAAAAGAAAAAAAAAAAGTATAAAAAATAAAAAGGTAAAAAGAAATGCAAAGTAGAACATAGTGTAACAAATACACTGTTGTATATAAATCTTTTCAAGTGACAAATTTGTAAAAATGTCATACAAAGTTACAGAGTTACATATAGAGACGCATCAGTAGAAAAAACAGTTAAAAAATATAATGCATAAATAAATTCCTTTACTTTTGACTAGCATTTCATAAATTTGTCAAACATTTCAGCGCTTTAAAAAGTTTAATATTTTTGCTTGAAACTGCAAAAAATCTCAAAATGACTCTTTAGTCAACAATTTTAGTGACAATACTTTAGAAAATTCAATGATCGAGTTTTTAAACATATAAAGTATATTCTTCCGTTGGGATTACCAGTTGAAAAGTAAAGTTGTAGAATTAAAAAAAGGATACAAGTCTTTCTGTACATGTACCGAAGAACCAAAAAAAGCAAATATACATCCTTTACTTTTGACTAGCATTTCATAAATTTGTCAAACATTTCAGCGCTTTAAAAAGTTTAATATTTTTGCTTGAAACTGCAGAAAATCTCAAAATGGCTCTTTGTTCAACAATTTTAGCGACAATACTTTAGAAAATTCAATGATCAAGTTTTTAAACATATAAAGTATATTCTTCCTTTGGGATTACCAGTTGAAAAGTAAAATGGTAGAATTAAAAAAAGGATACAAGTCTTTCTGAAGAACCAAAAAAAGCAAATTTACATCCTTTACTTTTGACTAGCATTTCATAAATTTGTCAAACATTTCAGCGCTTTAAAAAGTTTACTATTTTTGCTTGAAACTGCAGAAAATCTCAAAATGACTCTTTAATCAACAATTTTAGCGACAATACTTTAGAAAATTCAGTGATCAAGTTTTTAAACATATAAAGTATATTCTTCCGTTGGGATTACCAGTTGAAAAGTAAGGTTGTAGAATTAAAAAAAGGATACAAGTCTTTCTGTACATGTACTGAAGAACCAAAAAATGCAAATATACATCTGGCATGAGAGCCAAGAAGAATAGACAGGCATCCTACTATATTCCAACATCAACAGACATACATATAAAGTATTCATTCTATAGTTTTACTTATGAGTCAGTGTTTACAGGTTTCAAAGCACACTATAACATAAAAAACTGCCACAGCTTTTACATTCATATAGTATGGTGATCACAAAATAGTTGAACTTTAATATGTGACTTTGGCTTAAGGCCCCACAGTGTCAGATCATAGACGCATCAAATCGCACAGCACCCTCTTCACCGCTGACAAATTATTTTTCTTCAGATTACATCTACAGTGATGTCACAAGTGATGTCTAATATGGAAACCCCAGGGGTGGACTGACCATTTAGAAACTCGGGCACTGCCCGAGGGCCCGGGGTCAGTAGGGGGCCCCATGAGATGCCCCTGGTACCTTTTTCATAGGCTTTTTTGAGTATGGGCAAGGACACAGGGGCCCCATGATCCCCTATTGCCCGGGGGCCCCATGAGTTGTCAGTCCGCCCCTGGTCCTGAGAGTGGAGACTAATAGTGACTTCCTCCTCATGATACAACTACTTCATGCTAAGTGAATATCCCTAAATCTTAAAACAACCCTTCCTTGTTTAATGTGCTATATTTTAACCAGGGGCGGACTGACCATTTGGAAACTCGGGCACTGCCCGAGGGCCCGGGGTCAGTAGGGGGCCCCATGAGATGCCCCGGTGCCTTTTTCATAGGCTTTTTTGAGTTTGGGCAAGGACACAAGGGCCCCATGATCTCCTAATGCTCGGGGGCCCCATGAGTTGTCAGTCCGCCCCTGGGCAACCCATTCATGCCAACATATGTTGCCACTTTTATGAGCTCCAATATACTTTGTATGGACATAATCTTTCATGGCACTGTAAACAACATTAAGATTGATGTCCGCCCGTTTACAAAGGGGTGTGGTGACTCATTTTGGTACACAGAAGGGATCATAACCTGGAGTCTGTTTCTAAAAATGTAAAATGCCTTTAGCTTTATCACACAGTTATGGTGTCCTTTTATGACACAGAGAATAGCTGCGATTCAACGGATCTCAGCTATTCTCTGGTCATTCACAGTTTATGACACTCAGCAGATCATGTTCAGCCCTTCACTGGAGATCTGTGTTCTCCCTCCAGATTCTCCAGCCCAGAGCTGGAGAATCGGAGGGACCGAAAACTAAGCAGAGATAATTTACCTCTGTTTAGTAAACTGATCTTTTACTGTAATCTCGCGAGATTATAGTAAAATCAGCCGTTTTCCAGCGTTTGTAGACCGTTCTCCCTTCGTTTGTAGACCGTTCTCCCTTCGTTTGTAGACCGTTTTCCAGCATTTGGAGATCGTTCTCCCTTCGTTTGTAGACCGTTCTCCCTTCGTTTGTAGACCATTCTCCCTTCGTTTGTAGACCGTTCTCCCTTCGTTTGTAGACCGTTTTCCAGCGTTTGGAGATCGTTCTCCCTTCGTTTGTAGACCGTTCTCCCTTCGTTTGTAGACCGTTCTCCCTTCGTTTGTAGACCGTTCTCCCTTCGTTTGTAGACCGTTTTCCAGCGTTTGGAGATCGTTCTCCCTTCGTTAGTAGACCGTTCTCCCTTCGTTTGTAGACCGTTCTCCCTTCGTTTGTAGACCGTTCTCCCTTCGTTTGTAGACCGTTTTCCAGCGTTTGGAGATCGTTCTCCCTTCGTTTGTAGACCGTTCTCCCTTCGTTTGTAGACCGTTCTCCCTTCGTTTGTAGACCGTTCTCCCCCTTCGTTTGTAGACCGTTTTCCAGCGTTTGGAGATCGTTCTCCCTTCGTTAGTAGACCGTTCTCCCTTCGTTTGTAGACCGTTCTCCCTTCGTTTGTAGACCGTTCTCCCTTCGTTTGTAGACCGTTTTCCAGCGTTTGGAGATCGTTCTCCCTTCGTTTGGAGAACTGCTTCATAAACTGCATTCACAGGAGAACTGTGTTTTCCGAGAATGCCGGAGAACTGAGCAGCGATCTATTACCCCTGGTTCATAAACGGACACCTAAATTGCTTATTGTGCCATATTCTTCAAGTTCAGCCTGACTTATGTAGTTTTGGGTGATGGGTAGTTTCTGAACATAAAGCTAAAATCAAATGTGTGATTTTGATCGGCTAAAAAAAATTGAATTAACCGATTAACTAAAATTAACCTGTGATTTCTCCAGCCAA